CAATGCGCCTTTTAATTTCCTGGCTGCTGGTGCCAAGACTGTTGACTATGGAGCCAAGCAAACTAAAGCTGTGTACAATCTCAATCTCTTCACCTGATCTAATGCAGTATTCATTATCTATTCACTCTTTGCACATTCTCTCTCCAACTCCCCAATCCATGTCTGGCCTATTTTATAACAGCGGTATTATGCAATATTTGTCCTTTTGTGACTAAGGTATTTCACTCAGTATAATGTCCTCCAGGATCCCCCATGTTGTGTAATGTTTTACAAGTTTATTGTTTTTCAATGCTGTATAATATTTCATTGTGTGAATGTACAATAGTTTTCCTATCCATTCATTTGTTGCTAGGCACTTGTGTTGTTTCAATATCTTTGCTATTGTGAATAACATAGCAATAAACATGGGTGTGCATCTGCTGGGTCAAATGATATCTCTATTTCCAACTTTCTGAGAAAGCACCATTTTATATTCCCACCAGCAGTGAATAAGAGTTCCAATCTCTCCACAACCTCACCAGCATTTGTTTTTTTGCTAGCCTGCTGAACTTTGCTAGTGTTGCTGGGGCTGGATGGAATCTTTAGGGAAAGAAGATTGTGAAGTCTTTCTCCTGTGGGTTCGAATTGCCAACTTTTTGGTTAACAACTGAGTACTTAGCCATTGTGCCACCACAGCAAATAATTGCCTAATTAAATTCTGCTTGAATGAATGGGTTTAGAGGAGGATAGAAATAAAGACTGAAGGGGAGCTCTGGTGGCCTAGTGGCAAGGAGCTGCAACTACAATCCCAGAGGCGAACTGTTCAAATCCACCAGATGCTCTGCCGGGGAAGGAGGGACAATCTCCTCCTGTACCAGTCAGATCTGATTTGACGGTACATGCACACAAAAATAATAAAAAAATTTAAAAAAAAGAAAAGAAATAAAGACTGAAAAAAGATGTTGGCTAGTGCAGGGGCTCTAGTGGCCAACTGGGTAAGGAGGTGAGCTATCAACCCAAAGGCAGGCAGTTTGAATCTGCCACAATAACAATGGACTAGACTTTAGACTTTGTGTAACTAAAGGCATTTAAGTAGCAATGTCGGTATTTGAGAAAGTTCTCTTTATAAGAAGGAGTTCTGGTAGCCTAATGGTAAGAAATTGCACTGCTAACCCAAAGGCAGAGAGTTCAAATCAAAATGAGACATTTCCTCCTGTGTGATTTATATCCTCTGAAAAACTGCCGGAAGGTCAACTATAAGTCAGTTCAACTAAACATCTTCTCCAGAGTTTTAGTAATGAGTAGAGAGATTTTCAGCAAGATAGTAGGGAGATACTTAAATAATATAATAAATGGTGAGCATTGTTTGAATTTAAAAAATAATTCATGAATGTACTTTCAAAATTAAAATTCCATTTAGTTAGAACTAGAAAAAAATTTAAAGCACTATATTATTTTAGGAGATAACCTATTAACATAGAATCATCTCTCTATAACAGAATCTGAGCTTGAAATGTCATAGGTATTAAGTTCAAGGAGTAATTGTGGTCAAAATTAACATTGACATGAAATTGCTTCAAAGGCATCTAATAACACTATAATTATCAAGCTGCTGATGAAATATTTCTAAATATCCTTCCTACCTACATTTGTATTACTTTTACTTTTAAATTCTATCTGTAACTCCCGATAAACTATGTACTTCTCCAACCCTTTTTGAACCACCATTTTACATGTATGAATATTAAATAGACAAATATATAACATACGTACCCAAAAGCCACATACTTTCTGTCAAGGTAGGGAGTGGACTGTAGTGTGATATAGAACTGTGATCCATTGCTGTGAAGGCCTTTGTTAGCCATTCCAAGAACTCCCCTTTTATTATGAGGAATTGAGAAGTTTTCATCTAGGAAAGACAGTAATCAAGACCATTAAAATATTTCTGTTCTTTTAGCTGATCCCAAATTTGTCAATAACACATCCACCAAACATAACTGCTGGTATTAATCGCAGTCTTTGCATCAATACATGCCAAACTGTATGTGTTCTATTTGTTTTATATTCCTTTCAAACACTTAAGAAAAAGATGGTTTTAAAGAAAGTGAAAAATCTTCTATTTGAACACTTCTTTTTAGTTTATCTTTGTTGTTGTTATGTACTGTAGAGTCAGAACTGACTGGTAGCTGATACTCCAGCTGATTTTCAGAGGCAATAAAGTGCATGGGAGAAGACTGCTCATCTTTTTTCAGCAAAGTAGCTGATGGATTCACACCGCATACCTTTGTGCTGACAACATAATTATTTGCCACTAAAAAGAAAATAATAGAAGCACTGGTGGCCTGGTGGCAAGAAGCTATGCTGCAATCTCGAAAGAATGCAGTTCGAATCCACCATCTGCTCCACAGGAGCAGATTAACTGTTCAATTAACTGCCTCTGAAAACCCACAGCAAGTCAGCTATGGGTAGGTTCTGACTCAATGGTACACAACAACAACATACTAAAAAGAAATGTTAAGAAAATTCTAACTGCTAATGGACAGAATACAACAGCAATCTATGGTCTGTTCCACAGTTGGTTCCTGACCTTGTTCTGACTGAGGATATTGAACTTCGCTAGCATCTTTTCACAGATGTAGTCAATTTGATTGTTGTACATTCCATCTGGTGAGGTCATTGTGTGTAGTTGCAGTTTATGTTGTTGAAAGAAAAGTCCTTCAAAATTTTTAAGTCTTTCAAAATTCTATCATGCAATTTGTTGCCCTTTATGTCACCAAGGTTATCCTTTTTCTTTGTTTCCAACTTTTACATTCTAACCACTTGTATATCTAAATAAAAATATCTAAGGGAGCTCTCGTGGCCTAGTGGCAAGAAGCTGTACTGTGAAACTAGAGGAACATGGTTCAAATTCACCAGATTCTCTGCTGGAGAAGGAGAAGCAATCTCCTCCTGCACCAGTCAGTTCTGATTTGATGGTACACACAAAAATAATAATTTTTTTAAAAATTAGAGAAAAATATCTAAAGATATATTGTTGATGACTCTTTAGAAGTTAGTAAAAATGTTCAGTTTCATCATCTTTGACATTGAGGGTGGATGTACAAATTTGAATAATGTTCCTGTCAACAAGTCTCCAAATTTTAGCAGTACTGATGTTTATCCTATTACTTAACAGCAATATTTCAAGTTCTTGAAGTGTTCTTTTTGATAATGACTGTGATGCCATTTCTCTTCAATTTGTAACATATTAATGCATTATTTACTCTGCTAAGAATATAGGTCAGAAATAATCTCTTCTTTTGGCAGTATTTCAAACAGCATCAGTGATCATAAACACCTCCTCTGAGAAGACTGTCATGGGCTCTTCCCTTCCAGCATCTTTTTTTTCTTTTTTGTGATTTGAGTGAAAGTTTGGAAAGCAAATTGGTTTTCTATTCAGCCATATATATACTATTTTATAACCTTAATTAAAATATCCACAATGAAATTGTATTCTTCCCACTTACTTCTTGTGATTCTCTGATTCTCATGTCCATTAATCCTTCTACCATACTCTTTCCTGCCTTGCAGATATATTTACTGTCTCAATAGACAACATCATGATAAACAAAGTGTTGAAGCTGTCCATAGTTTCATCTTCAACAATCAACACCCTTGGTAGTAGCCGTTAGGAGATTTTGAGATGTATTCTACTGGGCAAAGCTGCTGTCAGAGACCTCTCCAAAATACTGAAGAGTAATGATGTTAGTCTGAAGACTAAGGTGCATTTGATTCAAGCCATGGTCTTTTCAATCACAATCACATCCAAATCTGAAAGCTGGACAATAAATAAGGATGATAATAGAACTGATGTCTTAAGAGGTGTGGTTTAAGGGAGCTCTGGTGGCCTAGTGGCAAGACGCTGCACTGCAATCCCAGAGGTATGCGGTTCATATCCACCAGATGCTTTGCTGGAGAAGGAGGGAGCAATCTCCTCCTGTACCAGTCAGATCTGATTTGACGGTACATGTAAAAATAATAAAATAAAAATTTGAAAAAAAGAGGTGTGGTTTAAAAAGAAAAAGAGAGCCGTGCTATTAGAAAAGAGTATTGAATATCCCATGGACAGTCAAAAGAACAGATACGTCTTGGGAGAAGTGCTCCTTGAATGCTCCTTGGAGGCAAAGATGGTGAAGCTTTGTCCTTTACACTTTGGGCACAGTGCTAGGAGAGGCTATTTCCTGGAAATGGAAAATGAGGGGTTAGTGAGAGAGAAGAAGATCCTTGAAGAGATGGATTGACACAGTGACAGCAGCAATGGGCTCAAATGGGTCAGAGATGATGAGGATGGCACAATATAAGACAGAGTTCAGGTCTGTTATTCATAGGGTTACTATGAGTCGTACTCAACTCAATGGCACCTAACAACAACATAGATAGCAGGTAGAGCTCTGACCATTCAATCTGTTACATGTTGGGCTGCTGAAAGAAAGGTCAACAGTTTAAATCCACTAGCCACTCCAAGGGAGAAAAATGGGCTGTCTCCTCCCCTTAATATTCACAACTTCAGAAACACTCAGAAGATTGATGGCTCAGGTCCACCCAGTGGTTCCATGGTAGGAAGACCTAACATCTGCTCCTGTAAAGATTACCACCTAGAAAACCCTGTAGGGAAATTTGTAGATTCTGTACATGAGATCACTACGAATTGGAATTGTCTCAATGGCGCCCAACAAAAACAAATACAGGTGGTCTCCAACTCATAAATTTAAGATGTATGGACTTGTGAAAAATGAAGGACTGTAGTCTTCAATATGGGTTGAAGCTCAACATCAAGAAGACAAAGATTCTCACCACTGGGCCAATTGGCAGCATCATGTTAGCTGGAGAAGAGATTGAGGGTGTTAGCAATTACAGCTTGCTCAGATCCACAATCAACACTCTTAACACCAGCAGTCAGGAAATCAAAAGACTAATTGCATTGGGAAAATCTGCTGTTATGGACCTCTCCAGAGTGTTGAAGAGCAATGATGTCAGTCTAGATATAAAGGTGCACCTAGGCCAGGCCATGGTTTTCTCAATTACTTGTTATGCTTCAGAGAGTTGAACAATGACTAACGATGACAGAAAAAGAATAGATGCCTTTGAGTTGTGCTGGAGAAGTCTTGAACATACTATGGATTTCCAAGAAAACAAATAGGTCTTTCTTGGAGAGCATGAAAGCGTCTCTCCTTGGAGGCTAGGATTTTGAAGCTCTACCTCACTTACTTTGGGCATGTGGCCAGGAGGGATTGGTCCTTTGAGAAGGACATCATGCTCAGAAAAGTGTATGGACAGCGCAGGAGAGGAAGACCCCAGATGAGATGGACTGATACAGTAACTGGGGAAATGGGGGTTGGTATGCCAGAATTAGTGAGACTGGCTCGGGACAGGGAAGGATTCAGAGCTGCTGTACATCGAGTTGCTACACATCACAGGCGACTCAATGGCACACAACAACAATAACATACTATGACAGGTTTGGAAGCAGGAGTGGTATCCACTTTCTAAATAACATGCCTCTGGAAACTCTATGAAGTTTGATAAATGTCAATAGTTGTAAAGGGGCTTCAGGCCTTTTGTTCATAGGGTCGCTATGAGTCGTGCTCGACTCAAATGCAATCAACAACAATAATGTTATTAATTCTATAAACAAAATATTTATTTACGTTTAACTTACCACTTGAGGCTATGCTGCTTCTACATGAGCAGTAGTGTCCAGGCTGCAAGAAGCCACCCGCATCCCTGCCATAGCCCTGTAGAGGCCTCCATGAGATTTACCCCTCTCCTGCTCCTGGGAAGTGTCCAGACATCTCAGGTTTAGCTGTTCTCCTTCCTGTCCCTTTCAGAGCAACAAAGTCATAATGACCCTTCCTGCATAAACTAGATATGCTCTGCAGCTAGATACCCCAGAGGACTGGGCTGCTAGACTCGCCTCTCCAGCTCCAGGACTAGCCAGGCAGGATTCCCTCAGGAAACAAAGTAGACCCACAGTTACCTAAAGATGGGAGCCAAATGCATCCTGGAGTTTAAATAAGTACTTTAGAACAGCTTATTGGAAGGAAATAAAATGATCCTAGTTTAGGGCAGCTCTAGCAGTCTGGTGGGTAGAGAGCTGCACTCCCAACTGCAAGGCTAGTGTTTGGAATTTATCAGCTACTCCTTGAAAGAAAGATGGGCAGTTTCCTCCAGTGTGACTTAGAGTTTGTGAAAATCCACTGGAAGACTGGCTTTGAGTTAGCTCTGGCTCCAGAGCAAAGAGAAAGGGAATATAACATATTTACATAATAACATATTTATATTCTTTTTCTCATTTGCCATCAATTTGGTTCCAACTAAGAGCTAGCCCTTCAGTATTTTTCCAAGGCTATAAACTGCACAGGAGGGGGTTGCCCATCTTTCTCCTGGAGCATGGCTGGTGCATCTGAACTACCAGGGAAGCTCCGTCTTTGAGTTAGCAGTGCAATTTTCTGCGGGCTTCTACACCACTGCTATTATTTGTCTTGTTGTTGTTATTGTTGTTAGGTGCCGTTGAGTATGACAACAGATCTGTGCTATTTACCTTAGCATAGAAATGTTTTTCCAACAAGTAACCATATGAAAATGGAGAATGAAAATTCATAGGTATAATTAAACTTTTTCTTCATTTTACAAATATCTATTGAATAATAATTCCAAGATTTGTTCTAAGTTGTTGTTAGGTGCTGGCAAGTTGAGTATGACTCATAGTGACCCCGTGAAGAACAGATCAGAACCCTGTCCTATCCTGTGCCATTCACACAATCTCTGACACACTTGAGCCCATTGCTTCAGTCACTATGTTAGTCTATCTCTTTGAGGATCTTTTTCTTTTTTGCCATCCCTCCACCTTTCCAAGCATCATGTCCCTTT